TTCCGATGACGATATACCGGAAGTGAAGAAAACGTTTTGTTTTGTTTTTTCAAAATTAACGGTTTTTTCTTCTTTCTCGTGTAAAAGTTTACGAAACGACAAATGTAAAAGCGGTGGAAAAACGAGAGTTATCGGTCCTGTTAATATTCCTCCTATTATTCCCATTGCTAAATCGAATCTCGGTAGTATTTCCGCAAACGTTATTACCAATATAACTGTTATCGTACGTATCAAGCATCGCTGCCAACATAATTCTGCAAAAAAAAAAAAAAAGAAAAAAAATTTTTTTATTAGTCCGTCGGCCATTTTTGTTCCTTTATCGCAATGAAAACGATGCGTTTGTTTTGTTTTTGTTTTTCTCCTCCAAAATCCGTTGGAATTTTCTAGAAATTTTTTTTCTATATATAAAATTTGTTTAAAAAAAATAATTTTCGATTGTGATGATAATAATGATGATGATAATGATGATGGGAAAAATAAAAATAAAATAAAAATAAAAATAATTTTTCGTTAACAAATTAAGAATAAAATTTTTTTTTTGGGGGCGGAAAGGGGCGGATGTGGTTCAACCCCTTTTCCGGAAAAAACAAAAAAAAACTATATTAAAGTCACACTATTAAATAATAATAATTTATTTAATAGTGTGACTTTAATATAGTTTTTATTTTCCACCAAATTTTTTTTTTTGGGGAATTTTATGAAAATTGGAAAAATTTATCCGGATTACGAAAAATTTTTTGAAAAGTTATCATTTCCGGTTTAAAATCGATCTGAAAAAAAAAAAACATGAAATCTTTGAATACTAATAATAATTATTATTATTTTACTGGAGAGAAAATAAAATTTTTCTCCATAAAAACTTAAAAAAATTATTTTTTTTATTATTCTTAGGGGAAGAAAAGACAAAATGTAAAAGAGGGGGGGGTAGAGGGAAGTAAAGGGAAGAGGGGGAGGGAGAAAAACTGGAGAGAAAAAAATCATTCGCAGCAGATGTTATTTTATAAAAATAAGTTCGAGAAAATTTTTTTTTTTTTTTAAAAACATTTGCATTTTTTTTTTATTATTATTTTGTTTTGTTAAATAATTTTTCCCTGATATTATTATCATCATTATCGACATTTCGCAGTTAAATATTTGCAATGCATATGGATTTTTTTTATTTTATTTACGGTATTAAGCTGGAGAAAAAAAAAAAAGAAATTCGGGGCACGGAAAAAAAAAAGATGGCGTCTTCAAGCTTTCACTATGTAAATGCTAATCAGTTTTATATTTCAAACAAATAGAATCAAATAACTAGAAAAATTCAAATTCTTTTTTTTTTTTTCTATGCTCGTTAAATTTTATCTTTTTTTCCTGTTTGTGACGTCACAAAGCTGGAGAAAATGTTTTTTATAAAAAAAATCAGGTACGAATAGCAAAAAAAAAAAAAAATCTTTCAAATATTGACCGAGAATTTAAAAAAAAAAAATCCTGTTTTTAATTAAAAATATTTTTGTTTTTTTCTCCAGGGGTATATCAGGTTTTAAGTTTTTTCGTGTTTGTTGTTATTATTGTTTGTTGGTGAGCACCGCAAATAAACAACAAAATTTTAATGTAAAATTCCTTTCGCTTATTTTTTTTTTTTTTACGATTTAAAAACAAACACAAGCCGCAGAATTTAAAATTCGTAAACCGCAATCCGTGTGTATTTTTCATTATTATCATCAACAAATGTTAAAATTTTAAACATTGATACCTGAATACCTGATTTTAATTTTTTAAAATTGTAATGCTTACCCGTCGGTATTCCAAGTTTATCTTCGATATCTTGAAAAAGAGTACACTGTCCACCGATGGTGGAAAGAAAAAGTTGCAACGTGACGATTAATATATCAAAATATAACAAATTTGTAACCGGAAGTCCTTGAATTAAATTCGAATGAGTATTTGTTCCGTAAAGATTTGAAGATATTATAACGGTTATCAACGAAAGGCATCCCGTCACTGTAGAAAACAAAAAAAATTTTTTTTTGGGGAATCGTTTCCGGTTTGAAAAAAAATAAAAAATTTCTATGAAAACATTAATTACCTATGAAACTAAGTAGTATGCATTTAGATAATTTTTTTTTCGAATGCATATCCGTTTGTATGGTTAAAAGGGAAGGATGACAACCGAATTGAAAAGTTAATATACCAAAAGTAACGGATACTCCGTGCCAAGATGAAAATGGAAGAGATCGTGGGGAGTAATTTTCGTATCATCATCCGACAACATGCAAAACCATGTGAGAAAAGCGCAAACGATGACAAAAAATGATGAAAAAACGGAAATCCATCTGCGATAACAAAAACAAATATTATTATTATTATTATTATTATTAAAATGTCTTTCTTTTAAACGACCCTTACGGGAATTTCACTTACTTTGTATCTTTTGGACTTCCTAGCCATGTCAACGGGCATAATGCCACACCGAGTATGATGAGCCAATAACAATAAGAGAAATTAAAAACGTTGTTTGATATTTTGGCATCGAAAAATTGTAGATTTTGCGACGCTATAAATTTTTTTAAAAAATAAATTCATAAATTCATGAATCAATCAATGAATGATTGAATGAATGATTGAATGAATGATTGAATAAATACGTACCGATGAGAAGAGCGGGTATGTTATTACTAAACACGGATAAATTAATGAAAACGTTAATGAATTTTCCAATTGTTTTACCCCATGCCATTTCTGTAAGTGCCGAATATGCGTACCTGAATTTTCACAACTGAAATTAATTTTCAATTCATTCCTAAAAAATTATCACGTGAATGTATAATAATAATAATAATAATAATAATAAAAAGGGAAATTTTTTTCTTTTTTTCGGATGGGATTTTAGAGATTTTTTTTGGAAAAAAATAAGGTTTTCCGACCTGTTTTTTAATATCATTTTTTTATCGAGGTGTTCGGCAATTATCCAACATCTACCCAAAAGCATACCCGTGTAAATGGTTAATAATAAAACAAAAAGTGCTAAAGGATATCCGATCCAACCTGTAAACAAATTTATTTCCTTTTAATTAAAATTAATTAATAATAATAATCGTTTGTTTGTTTGTTTGTTTACCGCAGAGTATTATTTCTTTAGGTAATGCAATTATCGGATTAACACCAAATTGATCGATTATGCAAGCAACAGCAAATACCGTAGAAATATTTTTACTTTGTTTAAAAAAATTATCATCATCGAGTAGCGGTATCCCTTCTTCGTCATTGTTACCAAAATTCGAAACTGAAAATTAATAATAATAATAATAATAATAATGATCGAACCGATGGTGTATTATCATCGCGAAAAACTCGTAAATATTTTTTGTTTCTTTCTTACCTTTTTTATTATTTGTCATTTTATTTTATTTATTTATTTATTTTTTAGTTTTAGTTACATTTTTACTACTATTTTTTTGTTTTAAATAAAAATTTTCCCGAAAAAAAAGAAAAGAAAAGAAAAAAAAGAGAAAATGAAACGTCACAAAAACATGATCGTAACTGTACGAAAAGTATAGCGAGTGATAAGGACAAAGTTTTGTTGACGATTACTGTTGTTATTATTAAATTTCTTCTGCTTTATTAAATTGTTTAATTTTTGATAATAAAAAAAATACTAAATATTTAATTTATTATCTATAAATAATAATATTTGATTCGTTAAAAATCATTCGTTTTATTGATATGTACACGTGTATGACATGTTTTAAAAAAAAAAAATTTTAATGTGTTACAAATTTTAAAAAACCCTGGAAATTTTTTTTTTTTTTTATAAATAATAATAATGATTGTGTGTATATATATATATATATATATATATATATATATATATATATATATATATATATATATATATATATATATATATATATATATGGTTAATTGAATTGCAATTTATTGACCTAATTTTCTTTTTTTTAAACTCGTTCGTTATCAATGATCAGTTATCGGTATTAATCGTATTTTATTTGCAATTTTTTTTTTTTACGGTTTGCAAATATCGGTTAAATAAATATTATGAAAAATATTATCAATGATTTGAGGATATATTGAATATTTTAAAAGCGTAAAAGTTATAAAAAAAATTCAAAGAGAGAGAGAGAGAAAAAAAAAAAAAGAGAAAGAATGAAAAAAAGAAATTTGTGAAAATCTATTCGATTTTGGTTATATCCCCTCCCCCTCTTACCCCACAATCACAATGAAAATATTGTCTGGGGAGACTTAAAGTGTTAAAAAGAAAAAAAAAATTTTGTTTTTTTATATAAGTTTTTTTTTCCATCTCTTACTCATTTTTTTTTTTTTTTAAAAAAAGAGGCTTATTTATATTTAGTTTCTTTGGGCAATGAAGTCTTTTATTTATTTCGTTTTTTTTATGTAAATTTATCATTATTATTATTATTATTATTTCTTTCTTTCTTTCTCTTTTTAATAAGATATATGAATAATGTTTAAAATTTTTATTTATATTTAAACTCAAATAAGAAAAAATAAAAAAATTAACGCCCGTAAAATGTTGCTTATGCATTTTGCAATGATTAAAAAAAAATTTGGTTAACGACTAAAAAAATTAATCAAAACAATATGTGCACACATATATATTAATAATAATAATAATAATAATAATAATAATAATAATAATAATAATAATAATAATAATACCTTCGAAATAAAACAAAAGAAAAATTAATTTAGAAAAATAGATTTATTAAAAAAAAATATTCTTTCCTTTTTTTTAGAAGGATAAACGTAATGAAAATAATATCATTATCTTCTTATCGTGTAATTTGCTATCGCATTAGAAATTTCTTTTGTTTCCTTTCTTTTTTTTTATGGAAAACCTTTTTTCTTTTCTCCTTTTTTAATATAGCTTTAATTTTAATTTTATGCGGTCAAGCAAAAAAAAACACACACAATTTTCTTTTTTTCTTCTTTTTCCTTTTCACTTTTCTTTTTTTTTAATAATGTTTTTTCTTGCCTTCCAAAAATATATTTAATTTATTTTTCAAAAAAAAAAAACGCATGCGCGTACACGCACGTTTTATTTATTTTTCGATTCGAAAAAACGTTAAAAAATGCGTGGCTAATTATTATTATTATTATAAAAAAATTAATTAATTTCATTCAAAACGTCAGGAATATTTAATTATTTATTTAACGTCAGTTAAAATTTTTATTTAATTAAAAAATAAATAAATAAATTTTTTTTAAAAATAATAATAATTTACGCGGGGGAGGGGGAGAGGGAGAGGTAAGGGAAGGGGAGAGGGTAGGGGTAGGGGGAGAATTAACAATATATCAAAGTTTGTTTCGTTAAAAAAAAGTTGAAATTTTTTTTCTTATTACGCATGCAAAACAACAAACTTTTCTTCGTCTTAAATGTTTTTGCATATTATTATTAAAATTTTTTTTTTTATCTTCCTACGAATATAACGAATTTTTTTTATATCTTTTTTTATAATTATTATTATTATTATTTCTATAAAAAAAAACGTTTTTTTTTAAATTTTCAACGGAAAAAAAAACACATCAAAATTCAAAAAGTTGTTGCATTAATTTACTATTATTATTAATAATATTATTTTGTTATTTTTTATTGTTATGATACGCAAGCGTGTTTGTTTGTTTGCTTGCTTATTTGTTTGTTGTCGTACCTGTTTTCACTCTCACAAAAAAATTTAATATCGATAACCGACTGGGAAACGTTATCATCATTTTCCTCGTTATTAATATCATTTAAAAAAAAAAATACCGAGGAAATTTAAGAAGTTGTTTTATGATGAAAAATAATAATAATAATAATAATGATAAACTAAATTTTTATTTATAATAATACGAAATTTATACATAATAATAATAATAATAAAAACAAAATGATTTACATATAATACACATGATATAAATTTTTTTTTAAACGTAAAAAAATTGTAAATAAATACAAAAAAAAAAAAAAAATTTTTTTAAATAAATTTTACAGCAGACGATAAAAATAATAATCATCGTAACGTAAAATTATTTTCAAAAAGTTAAATGACCGATCGATCCGCCATTTGCAAAAAAAAAAATTTAAAACGTTTTTTTTTGTCGTTCGGTTCGTACGTAAACGTAAAACCGGAAGTTCATGCACGAATGTGTAACTCGTGAGCAAACTGAAAAAAAGATGGCTTCCTATTTTTTTTTTAACTCGCGACATGATGATATGCCATAAATAAAATTTTTTTTTTCCTCATCATCATCATCATCACCATCTTCTGCTTCTTCTTCTTCTTCTTTAACAATTCATTCTTCATCATTTTTATATTTTTTACAGTTAATGAATTGAATAAAAAAAAAAAACAAACATGGCCACTTTTAAATAATTTTTTTTTTTTTAAAAGGTGACTTTGCGGATTTCGAATTCGCATTAAATAATAATAATAATTATTATTAGTTCGTTATTCGGCCCACTCGAACGTTTTTATTTTTTAATAATAATAAAATTTATTATTTATTATTCGCGCACTATAATAATAATAATAATAATAATAATAAAGAAAATTATATTTGATCCGTTCGGTCAAGTTCAATAAATTATAAAAAATGTTTTTTTTTTTTTTTTGGTTTCACTGAGGAACACTTTTTTTATTTATTTTTCTTTCATTCTTTTGTTAAAAAACAAAAAACCGTTAAAAAAATACAATTACAATCGTAAAATTAATAAAGATGGCGGTGATAATGGCGATAACGTAATAATTATTGAGCCATAAAGTAAATAAATCACACGTTTACGAATAAAAAAAATCCTTTTCGTCGTGTCAATAGATGATGATAATTTTTTTTGATTTGTACTCGATAAGTAATCGATATTATCGATCGATAATTCATTTAATAAATTTAAATTCTTTTTCTAATATTCTCGAATTGACGGTGAAACTTCCTTGTCCGGAAAGTGTAACTGTACCTTTACCGTTATTTTTTCCTTTTCTTATTTTATTCCTTCGAGTTTCTTCCGACCAATCATTTATTTCCCAATTTAAATTATACCTTTTCAACGCTCCCCTGCATTCTCTACCACTTTCCAATAATCTTAAATCTTTTGATTTTGATGATGATGATGACGTGTGTATTAAATTATCTTCGGCAAAACGATCAAGATCGACGTAGGAACCATCTCTCGATGGATCTTCTAATAAATTACCTAAATCTTTTCTCAGTTCTGAAAAATCAGGTCTTTTGTTGGGATCATGTGACCAACAATGGGATATCAGTCGATAAAATTCTGGTTTGCAATGATTCGGCCTTTCGAGCCTGTATCCATCTCGAACTCTCCTCATTATTTCTCTTGCACCCATGTTCGGATAGGGCGTTGATCCTAGCGTTACTATCTCCCACATGACTATACCGAAACTCCAAACGTCTGATTTATGTGTGAATACGCTGTAAACCAAAGATTCCGGTGCCATCCATCGAATCGGCAAAGCACCCTTTTAACAAAAAAAAATAATTTATTAATTTGTTTTTTCCCCCTCCCCCTTTTTCTCTGGTCGGGAAAGCTCAGGGGTGGGAAATACTCACTTTGTGTTGTCTTTCTTCGTATACTTGACCATCTTCGAAATTTCTTACGCTACGTGACATTCCAAAATCCGCTATCTTACATACTTTATTATGATCGACTAGTACGTTTCTCGCTGCTAAATCTCTATGTATTATCTGAAATAAATAATAATAATAATAATAATAATAATAAATCCGAAGATTTAACGTTTTGTTATTTCGTAATTACACGCACACACACACACACACACATCCCCCTCTCTTCCCTACTCGATTATTAAATTAAATTAAATTAAATTTGACGTGCGTGGGAGAATTTAAAAAAAAAAAAAAAACGAGTTTCAATATTATTATTATTAAAATAATAATTCTAGGTCGAATGTAAGTTTTCATTTCACAATAATTTAAAATCGAGTATGTTGTATGTGGTTTTTGCATGGCGTGCCAACTTTCACATTTAAATAATAATAATAATAATGATAATTTACCCCTCTAGATGCGAGATATTCCATTCCTCTTGATATACAATATGAAAAAAGTGTTAAATCTTTCGACGTGAGAGCATCGGAATTATTTGAAAAATTATAATAATTTTCATTTACTCTATGCTCTCGTAAATAAGTTAATAATTTTCCCAATTTAACATATTCCATAATTAAATAATTTGGTTCTGTTCAAAAAAAAGAAAACCGGAAATGAATTGATAAATAAAAAATAAAAGAAAATTTTTTCTTGTTGTTTAATGATAAGAATGGATTATTCTAATTTACCTTGATCGGTACAGCATCCCAATAGAGTAACAATATTTGGATGCGAACCTATTTGTTGCATTATTTCAAGTTCTTTTATAAATTCTTTATGTTCTTTTTCCGTTGCACCTTCTTTAACGGTTTTAACGGCCACGAGTCTTGTTTTACCTTCGTGACCGGGCATATCTTCAGCTTCGGCTTTCCACACCTGATTTTTTAAAAAAAAAAAAATTAAAATAATTATTACATATAAATATTTTTAAAAACCTTATTTGTTGCGTCGCTTATTATTATTATTATTGTTAAATGTCTTTTTAAGGGCAATGCGAACGAGTAAAAAAAAAAAATTTTACAATATGTTCGTCTTGGCCTTTCACCCGATAACAACTTTCTAATTGTTAACCGTGTAAGTTTTTTTTTTATTATTTTTCTCTTACCAATTCATCTCTTTCATCTCGAAAAAGAGTTAATCGTAATCGTTTCACGGATCGATATATACCAGAAAAAAATTTTCCCTTTTATTTTAATAAAAATTATTATTATTAATATGATACCTGTCCGAAATTTCCTTGTCCTAATATTGTTTTCATTTTTAATTTAGAACGAGGGAATTCCCAATTTTTGTTTCCCTGTTTATCTATGTTATCCCAATGCTGTTGAACTCTTGGTAACCTCGATGGAGCAACAAGAGTTGTTGTTGTCACGTTACTCGGTGTTTTTTTCAAATCCGTTCCAGTTTTTTTTTTATTATGCCTCATTTGACATTCGTCGGTACTTATGCTATCTAATTTGTCATCCGATTCGCATTCGTACTTTAAAAAAAAAAAAAAAAAAGTGTAAAAATTAATTTTTTTGAATAAGATTGATTATTGGTAGTAGGTAGGGATTGTTTATGCAAAAAAAAGAAAAATGGCGGAGAAATAAATGAAATTTTTTTTTTTTTACACACACACCCGTCTTTGAAAACGTTGCATTAAAAATCTAGATGCAAATGCCACAGCCAAAATCAATGGTACTATTCCAAATGCAGCTAATACGTAAATTGCTAAACCCACGGGACGTGTCACTAGGGTCACCCCGTTTCCATCATCATCATCATCGTCGTCGTCATCGTCGTCACTTTCGACGACTTTAATGACTTTTTGTTGAGTTCTGCTAACGTTTGGTGATATGTAAAATTTCGTGTTATATTGTGTACCCATCGCTTTACGATCTTCTTCATCTTGATAATTATCCATTGATATAACCAATTGATCTTCTAAATTATCGTCCATAGGTGTCACTCCAGTCGGAAAATTTTCTAATATTTTTTCCGTCGATTCCGAGTCTGGAAAGGTGTGACTGTTAACAAAAAAAAAAAAAAATTATCATTATTGTATTAGAGAGAGAGAGAGAGAATAATTTTTCAGGTTAAGAAAATTAATTTTTAATAATAATAATAATAATAATAATAATAAATGTGAGTAACATCCTTGAATGTGATATCATCGCGAGAAATAAAAATAATTATTATTTTTTTTTACATAACATTTTCATTCACGATTTGTTTTTTACGCATTTACGCACTTTTTTTTTTTTTGATATGCGAGAGAGATAATAACGAGAAAAACACCATTTTACTTAATTTTTAATATTTTTTTTAAAAAAAATTGCAACAAAAAAAAGTAAATTTCAAAACATTTAAAATAAATAATAAAAACGTTTTTTTTTTTTTTTTCTCGATTCAATGATCTGAACAAATTTAAGATGAGTTTTTTTAGGTTTTCCGTTAGTTTTAACAGTCAGTCAACAAACTGGAGATAATTATCCAAAAAAAAAAAAAAACCAACTTCCTTCTAATCAGGTTGAAAAATTGTGCAAAAAAAAAAATGGTTGGAACGGCGGATAAAGTAATTTTGTTTTTTTTTTTTTTTTATCCAGTCATTTCTTTTAACTTTCCAAATCATTTCCGGTTAATTTTATTTTTTATTTAAACATAATTTATTTATTGAATTACCATCCGGGATTTAAAGAAAACTAGAGCGTGTGCGTGTGCGTGTGCGTGCGTCATTTTAAACAATTAAATTATTATTATTAACTTTTTTTTTTTATTTAAATTTAACAAGAATTTCAACATCGATACGACGAAAAAATAAGAAAATCTATCGAATTCCGATGACGTCATAAATTTATTTCGTGACGTAGTTTTAATCTTTTTCTTCTCGTTTTGTTTTTTTTTTTTTTTTTTTATACGGAAATCCAACCTTTTTTCAATTATTTTTTCCTTAAGCGCTGTTGCATAATTTCTTTTGTTTTTGAAAATAAATTCCCACGAGTGGTACCTTACGACTAAATACTTTGTTACATCTTTTCTTTTTTTTTTTTTTTTGACTGAATGTAACGTGGAAATAGAAATTTGGCATTTTGATTACGATCGATACACGCGCACACACACGTAACGCAACGTAACCTACATTGAACCTAAACATAATTTATTTCATCATTGTCTCTCTCTCTCTCTCTCTTTCCCCTTTTGTAAAATCATCATCATCATCATCACGAGCGTGGTTATTACAATCATCGCAACATGAATTCATTTATTATTGTCGTTTTTCATATACTGTAACGTTACAACGTGCGTGTGCGTGTGCGCGGTGCGTGCGTGCATGTTATAAACTTCAGGTCACAGAAATCCTGTCATTTTTAATTTAGATTAATTTTTCATTTTATTTTATGTCATAATTTTATTTATTTATTTATAAGGAAGGGAGAGTATTACCTTTCGTCGTCGTACCTAAAATAAATTAGTACGTGAATAAAGAGTTTTTTTTTTTTTATTGCATACCACCTTGAAAATAAGGCGGAAAATTTTTTATTTTTATCCTTTATAATTTTTATATTTTTAAACATTTTATTAGTTATCATTGATTTAAGGTCATTACACGACAAAACCTTAGTTTAGTTTTGTTGTAGTGGTAGCACTGGTTAGTAGTAGCACAAGTGGTAGTGATGCTAACGTTAAAAATTATTAATTAATCTTAACAATATTATTTTTTAATTACGTTTTTATTTAAATTAAGAGAAGCAACAAAATTCAAATTTGTAGAATTTGGCTGGGGGTGGGGGAAAGGGTGAGGGGAGGGAGGATGGTACGAAGAATAATTGTAGTCGTAATTTAAATTTTATGTTAACAATTCTTTTATAAAAAAAAAAGTAATTAATCAAAGTTGTATATATATTGTTCGAAACGTAATAATAAATACGAGTTTTTTTTTTAATTGTAGTGAGTTATGGCTGTTGAGGCCATATTTCAAATAAGTTTTTTTTTTTATTATGAAAATCAGTGATGCCAACTAGAAAATGGCAAAATGTCATGGTTAAAAAAAACCTTGGCGATAACTAGTCAATTAGTTGTAAACTTCTTCCTTCTAAGAATCTTAATTATTTTAAATGATTGACGACTTCATACA